GTTCAACTATCGGAGTAAGAAAAGAGGTAAAATTTTTAACATCACAGTCTGCCATCCCAAGAGAGCAAGCCCACACTGACCACTGGATGCTGCCTTTTTGTAAGAGGAACATGTATTGCAATCAGTCATAGAATCACAGAATCATAGAATAGCCAGGGTTGGAAGGGACCTCAAGGATCACGAAGCTCCAACCCCCTGCCACACGCAGGGCCACCAACCTCCACGTTTAATACCAGCCCAGGCTGCCCAGGGCCCCATCCAACCTGGCCTTGAACACCTCCAGGGATGGACGGGGCATCACAGCCTCTCTGGGCAGCTGTTCCAGCACCTCACCACTCTCATAATAAAGAACTTCCCCCTGACATCCAACCTCAATCCTCCCTCCTTCAACTTAAAGCCATTTCCCAATGTCTTGCTGCCATCTACCCTTTCAAAGAGTTGAACTGACCTTGGAGACAGATTTTCCTCAGTATCTATATCCCTTCGTAGCCAGATTTTTGTCAGTTTTAAGACTTATGTCCATGGATGGGAGTAAATCAGTGTCCCAGGGTGATTGCCTTTGTCACTCCCAAGAGGAACAGAAAGAGGAACCACAGGGGGTTGGAATGAGGTATCTGTAGGGTCCCTTCCTTCCATCCCCTATGGTTCTATGAAAACTCTGCCAGTCTCCTTTGTTCTCTGTACATCAACATCCTGTAGATGTGATTATTTTATGATTGGATTCCCTGACTCTGTGCTTCAATATTGCACCTTACCTCCATGCAAAAACTGTGCTACGCTCTCATAAAAGACCATATATCAGAGATACAACCTCCAGGTCAGAATTTTAATGCACGCAGCCCAGCTCAAATACTACACGTTCATGATGGGAATAGGAGGCTCTATGGCTGTGCAAACGAATATTACTTTCCACTACATGAACTCTCCTTCCACAAAAACTTTCATCTGTTTTTTGAGGACAAGCATCCATTTCTTTTTTATGGCCATGAATGGAAAGTGAGGAATCAACATAAAATTCAGCTGCTCCTTTGAATATTGGTGCGTTGAAAGTAAATTACAAAGATGTAATTTGCCCCTCAAGAACAAGAAGAATGTCCCAACAATGTTGAGAATGGAGAGGAACAGGTTAAGGCACTGTTAGGCTGCTGTGAGTAGGTATTTCAGAGGAGTGATCCTCTGGAAACAGTTTACAGCACTGCAATTACTGTGAATGGTCCTTCTAGCATAAAATAATTATTTCTGGTAATAAGTTATTCAATTTGTCATCATTCATATTGAAAGAAAGATGATCTAATATAAAAGCTTTAATATTTTAAGCTAAATTAAGAAATCTGCCCAGGCTGATACTAAACTCCCTGAGTGCTTCGCTCCCCAAATCCTGTCTAAGTGCACACAAGAACCTAACGAGGTTCAACAAGGCCACGTGCAAAGTGTTGCACCTGGGGCAAGGAAATCCCTGATATGACACAGTCTGGGAGAAGAACTTGAGAGCAGCCCTGCAGAGAAAGGACTTGGGGTCCTGGTGAACAAGTGGCTGGGCATGAATCAGCCAGCAGCATCCTGGGCTGCATCAGCAGAGGGCGGCAGCAGGGCAGGGAGGTGATCGTCCCCCTCCACTCTGCCCTCGTGAGGCCCCAACTGCAGCACTGCATCCAGGTCTGGGGCCCCCGGTACAGGATGGATGTGGGGCTGTTGGAGCAGGGCCAGAGGAGAGCTGTGAAGAAGCAGGGGCTGAAGTGCCTCTGCTGTGAAGAAAGGTTGAAGGAACCGGGCTTGTTCAGCATGGAGAAGAGAAGGCTGCAGGGAGACTTCATTGCAGCCTTCCAGTACAAGGAGCTGACAAGCAGGAAGGGGACCAGCTTTTTACATGGTCTGATAGTAATATGGCAAGGGGGAATGGCTTCAAACTAAAAGAGGGGAGATTTAGGTAAGATGTTAGGAGGAAATTCTTTACCCAGACAAGTGAGGTCCTGGCACTGCTGCCCAGAGAGGCTATGGATGCCCCATCCCTGAAGGTACTCAAGGCCAGGTTGGATGGGATACTGGGCAGCCTGATGTAGTGCATGGCAGCACTGCCCACAGCAGGGGATTGGGACCAGATGGTCTTCAAGATCCCCTCCAACCTGGGCCATTCTATAAAGTCGATACCCACAAAAGCAGTGCATCTCTCCTGTAATGGGGAAAGTACAACTGCACTGCTTGTACATACCATAAATAATTATTACTTCTCATTTTGTGTTGGTTTTTTTTTTTGTTGCTACAGGACACTAAAGGGAACAACACTCCCTCCACTCAATTTCTGGTGGATTAAGCTCTGTGCCCTCACAGCCACAGCACAAGAGGGATGACTGCTGTCTGATTTTGGCATTTGCTGCCCAGACTAAAGCTGCTACCTGACCTCCAGCAGCCAAAAATTCTAGAGAAACGTGAGCACCAGGACGTGTTCATGAGGAGAGCTGCTGCACGCTTTCAGAAAACCTTCCCATGCTTCTTCATCTCTCCCAGGAACCAGCAGTGCAGAGAGAAGGCAAGCTAAGGTAACACCAGCTCCAGTTTGCCCTGCATCTTCTCCTCAAAGAGAGGGAATATTGGAATATTGGAATATTGGAATATCTTTGTGGCCAAAAAATAAAAACAGCTTTCATTGTTATGCACAAGATTTACACTGCTCAGATTAACTGAAATAGCAGGAATGGCATGGATCCAGTTGTGTCAGGACAGACAGCAGGTAGAAGAGCTAAACATTTTGCAAGGCAAGTAACAGCTGCCTCCTAGACTCCACAAATAACACAGTGATATGTAGCCAGCCTGACCCCAGAAGCACGCAGGTAGCCAGAAAATCAAAGCATAAAGGTATCCATTTGCTTTCTCTAATTTGGGATCTTTCAGAAACTATTTTGCCCATTTTAAGCACTCAGAGAAATGTTCCCATTTTTCACTTGAACCCCCCTTGCTGAGGCTCCCTCTGGCTTGGCAGCAGCCAGGAGCATCTGCAGCACGATGATCTCCTGCACAAGGAGCCACCAGGAGAGACGTGCTGTGTCAGCTGCATATTCCACCCCCCATGAGCGGTTCTCCAGAACGATTTACTGTGGCATCGTCCTGTGATGACAAAGCTGAAGCAAGGGTTGAACGGATCGATCAATTGTTAACCTCAGATTTGCTGCTGCTGGACGAAGCACATCCACACAAGCAGCAAACTGCAGTACAAACCCAGCGGAGTTACACACAGAAACCCTACACTTACTGTGGAATCAGCTTAGGACAGACGTTTCTCCAAGCATGACAGAACTGAAATTCATATATTTGAAACTGGAGTTAACTAACGTTAAGGCTGAGAAAAATACCGTCTTATTTCTGAGCGACGCTCTCTAGAAAGCTTTAAGGTTCCTCTAATTTAATAATTCATTTCACTTGCACGAACTAAGTACAAAATGATTTCTGCCGCTGCTTTGTTCATCTGCTGCAGTTCTATGTCAGCACAGCTTAAATGGAGAAGCATGTTCAGCTTAAGAAAAAAAAATGGATTGGGTTAGAAGAAAAACCTTTCTAACACTCCCAAGGGTCTATGGGTCCTTCAACCCAATTTGACATGAATGAAAGCATTATTGTTCTTTTGACTCCTGCTGAGCCATTATGTGAATGGTTTGCTGGAGACTCCAGCAGCCTTTTACAAATGTTTTCATCGTGCTACAAACCAGGATTCTGGTCCTGAGACATCAGAAGTTTCAACATTTAAAACAGTTTTTCTTCTACGTTACGAGAGAGCAACATTCATTTCTGACAGACATACGGAAGGGCATTTGACAAGTGAGAGAAAAAACACATCTCTCTCTTTCTCTCTTTGTATGCATTAATCAATTTAACATATTAAAAAGTGCAGCAATGAAGAGTCAATCAAGCAAATGAAACTGAACACACCCACTGACAGATATTTCCTGCCATAAAAATGCTTGCACATTGGATGGGAGGGAAGAGTCACACCCTAATAAAAGGTAAGAGAAAACAATAAAAAGGGTTAAAAGGTAATAAAAGGATTCTTATCAAGCTACATAACCTAAGCCAAACCTCAAAGTGATATTTTTCTGCATTAAAATGTGAGCTTTGATGATCCAGCCGGTGTTTCAACTGCTTCAGAGCCAAAATACTGACTTTGTAAAAATCTTTACACCACCACATAATAGCTGGCTGCTGCACAGCCCTTCTGAATTAAAGTTGCTTTCAAATCAGTTGCAGAAGAAATACCATTCCAAATCCAGCTCACCACTTTGGTTCAAAAAAGAAGGAAAGTAGGATTTGAGTAATTAACACAGTACTTCATCTACAACTATAATAGCATAATAATGAAGTAAATGGTGGACAGTTTGATAGCTAATGCTCTTAACTGCCTCCTGTCCCTGCAACAGCTCAATTAAACAGCAGGCAGGTACACGTAATTTTCTTTACAGACAGAGCTGAAGAGCTGTAAGCTCTGACTTCTCTCAGGAGACATTTCAAACCAGATTTCACACAGTTGTTTCTGACACGTGCGTGGATTGCTCTAAAACAAGCACAGAATGTGTAAGCTGATGAAGGCAACAGAACTGGTAGGGAAGACCAACAGAATCCAGAAAAAGCAGTAAGGAGGCTGATTACAGCTCAGCTTAAATGCCAAAACTCCTACCACATCTCTAGAGACCAACAGTAAACTCACTCAGATCTGCTCATCAAGTTGGTTTAAAACAGCATCTTTATAACCTGCACAGGTTCTACACAGCCGAGAAACACCAAAGACATTATATATAACAAAGAAGTACCAAGCAGCTGATGCAAAGCTTCCAATCATGCTTACTCTTCCAGAAGGTCTAAGTCTTTATCCCAATACCTTGAGCAGGGCAAGAACATCCCTTGTGGGAATAGCACCACTTTCAATAAAGATGACAATAAAGTCTTACCGCAGCCTCACAACATCCAGTTTCTGCACTGCTGAACACTTCAACACTTGATATCGATTTCCTCACCTGGTAAGGACACGGGATGTGATATTCCCTGCAGCGTTCTTGAATCCACGTCGTCTCCCACACCCCTCGATAAGCCTGCTCATAGAAATAGCAGCCAATTACAACCAACAGTGGCACGAGGTACAGAACACTGAACACGCCAATCCGGATCATGAACTTCACTAGCTTGTCTTGGTTCTCTTTTTCTAATGGGATTTCAATGCGAACCCGATTGAGAGAGATAATGCCAGCTAGCAGAAGGGAAACTCCAACAACAACATACAGGCAGAGGGGTGCAAGTACAAAGTATCTTAATGCATCCACATCATAGAGGCCAACAAAACATACGCCGCTAATATTGTCACCTTCAATTTTATTCATTGCTAAGAGGACGATGGTTAGAGTTCCTGGAATGCCCCAGGCGCTGGCGTGGAAGAGCAACGCTTTCTTCTCGATCGCTTCACTGCCCCATTTTGGCACGGCTGCCAAGAACCACGTGATGGTAAGAATGACCCACCAAACACTGCCAGCCATGGTAAAGAAATAGAGCACCATGAAAAGCATGGTGCAGGCTTTGTTGTGAGAGCCCTGCGTCACCGTGGAAGCCTTGTACTGGGCAGGACTAGACGCGTTACACGCTACTCGGTCTTCAAGCAGAAAGCCAATGAAGAAGATTAATGACACCATCATGTAACAGACGGCGTAAAATATTATCGGTCTTTCTGGATAGCGAAATCTTGTGACATCGATCAGAAAAGTTAAAAAAGTAAACAAGGTAGCAGAAAGGCAGACGATGGAGATCACTCCGATGAAGTAGCGAGCAAAGGAGAGCTCTTCACGCCGGAAGTACATATTTGGACAAGGAGGGGAACAGTCCCGTACCCTCAGGAAAGAGTAACCCAGATCGGGGTCTATTTTCAACTCTCGAGGACACCAAAAACCATAATCCCTCTGTACCGCCATGGGGGCCTCTTCGGTGGGCTCCCCACCCAAACTGAGGTCAACAAGACGAGGATACGGTTCATCACAATCCGGGAATCTAGAAAGCAAGAAAGAATGATTTACAAGAAAGGCACGTGTAGTGTGCAAAGGCTGCCAGCCTCACTTACATGTCTGACATTAGGCACTGAGACTGGAAAGAAAACAGAGACAATCCACACAACAGGTAATCCACAGATTACTATTCCAAACATAAACAAGCTTTAGAACTTCCCGTCCCAGACTGCAGTAGACGTCAAAACTATGAAGTACGTGTGAAAATAGAGAAACAAATGGGTAAGGGGAATGTTGAGGCCTTAAGCATAAGAGTGAAGATACACAATTCATGTCAGGAAGTCTCTACATTTAGCTTTACTGTGCCCAAGGAAGAATGATTTTATAGAGCACTTAAAACCCTTTCCCTAAACAACCCTACTAACTGCTATCAGGCAGGATACCGCACTAATTAGACCAAACATCCACCTAGCATTAATACTAGCACTAATACACTGAAATTAGAATGAAGGTATTTCTACAATTAGGGCAAGGAGTGCTGAGATGCAATCTTATGCTTTCGGTAAGTTTGGCTCTTTGGTTCCTCCCCCTGTTAGACATTACTGCCTCAGCAAGCACTGAGCTTAAACTAAACATGCTTGCTTCTCTGCCACAGTGCACGTTTGGTGCACTGACACTAACAAAGCATGAGTAAAGCTTCCAGAGTTTTATCTCCAGTTTTGAAATTTTACTACTGACATTGGTCTTAGGAGGACCTACAGGGCCCGGCCATCTGTTTGCAGCACAGACAGAGCAATCTTTGACCCTGATTGCCAGGACCTAGAAACATCCTCTGACTTTCTCTTTGCTAAAATAAACGCTTTTCATTGTTTTCTATTCTCTCCTATTCAACTGTAAGGGACTATTTCTTCTGATTGCACTCCTGAATGCTATTAGCTGTTAAGTCATGTATTCAAAAAAAAAATGCATGAAGAGATTGTTTTCCATTTCAGCTACATCATTTCATATAAATTAGAACAGCCTGGAATACTTTGCTGTAGCATTATTTCTGTAACGTAAAGCTGAAAACATCTTTCCATACAGCATGAGGCAGACACTCTGAAAACAGAGCTTTGAGATTTGAGATGCTCGTTGAACCCAGCCAGCTCCCCTCAGAAAAACTGACCCTTCATCTCCAGTGTATGTAACTTTGCATGCCTCTCAGAAGAATTTAGCACCATGTATCCTACTTTGGTATTCCAGACAAATCCAGGTCTGCATACATGATGAGGCAAATAGGTATATCATTAGAATGTGAATATGTATGCACTTCTTACAGGAACTGCCTATTTAAATTTTCAATTAATCTCTTGGGTAGATGACAGAAATATGAATCTAGTTTCCTCACAGAATCACAGAATGGTTGGGTTGGAAAGGACCTCAAGGATCACAAAGCTCCAACCCCCTGCCACATGCAGGGCCACCAACCTCCCCATTTCATAGCAGCCCAGGCTGCCCAGGGCCCCATCCAACCTGGCCTTGAACACCTCCAGGGATGGACGGGGCATCACGGCCTCTCTGGGCAGCTGTTCCAGCACCTCACCACTCTCTTGGTAAAGAACAATATCTGTTTCAAATCATAGAATATCCCAGAAGGTACTAAAATTTCAGCCCGGGATTGTGAAACAACAGGTTTGCTCACCTGGAACACTCCATATCCTCAGGCCAAGAGACTCCAAACATCTCCATGAGTTTGGAGCATTCGCTGTACGCTCTTTGGCAGAGTCTGCGACACGGCAGCGTGACACGGCCATACTCCATGCACACGGGAGCGTAGAGGGCACAAAGAAATGGTCGAAAATCTCTGGAACATTCCAAATTCACCATCGGATGAAATGGCTACAAAAGAAAAGGGAGAATTCAAGAGCTTCAGCTAGCAGTTTCGTAGAACATCAGCAGGAAGCTGTAATTTGATGCATGAGGAGTTAGGGCTTCCACAACCACAACCATAACCTTCTTTTCCTGAACAATGCCTCTCGGAATCATCATAATGCAGCACTTACGTTTTCAGGAAGACAGGCAATGGAGAAGCCTGGGGACAACAACAAAGACTCACCAGGGACATTTATGTATGCAATCTGCATCAGAATCAATGGGAATTAGATAGCTAAACGCCTTTGAGGATTCGAGCTTAGACTAATACTCTCCAATAAACATCATATGAACTTCTTTGCTGCTTGTTTAAAGGACAGACAGACTTATTGTGAATTGCCAGCTGCTTATTTAGTAGATAATATGAAGAACCCGCATTCAGCTGATGAGATCACAATCTGGGTAATAGAGGATAATGCAAGACTCCTTCACAGTACAGAAATAAAGCTGTGATTTTTTTAAGATAGTTTACTGATTAGATCATCTGAAAATCATCTATTTCTTGAATTATTTTCAGGAGGCCTGGGTTCTTCATTTTGATTGCTTCTACAAGATGCAAACACAGGACATTTCCCATTACATTCTTTCCTCATCATCTTGTCTTCTGTTAAAATCTCAGCTCTATCAGCAGGGTGTATCTGCAGGCAGAAAGCAATCCCAACACGTGTGCTACCTCAGGCACATACACTCCCAGGCTTCAAGAACACAGCTGTAAGCACAGTGAAGCTACAAGTATGCCTCTCTTTACCTAACCAGAAAGCATCGGGAAATGAAAGCCTGAACAAAACCAATCAGAAAAATAAGTGGTATCTTGTGCTACTTGTTGTCTGATAACAGGTTCAAGTAACAGTGATAATGGTGAGAGCTCCTTGGAAGCACTGAGGGAAAATCTATCACAATTAGCCAACATGCAGCTGTAATTAAGCATTTTGAAAGGTGAAATATAAGGAAAGAAATAGAGCAGGGATTTACAGAGTTGTGAAAATTGGTGCATGTTGATGAACTGTGCTACCTTCTTACTGTCATGTGGCCCTCCTTACTGTTATGTGGCCCTATTTTAGGGCAACCAAAATGACCCCAGGGATGGAACACCTCTCCTATGAGGACAGGCTGAGAGCCTGGAGGAGAGGGGGCAGTGAGAAAGGGCACAGACACTTTCACAGGATCTGTTGTGATAGGGCAAGGGAAATGGTTTCTCACTAAAAGAGGGAAGATTTAGATTGGATAAAAGAAGTTGTTTACAGTAAGGGCACTGAGAGGCAGTGGTGCCCCATCCCTGCAGACAGCCAAGGTCAGGCTGGATGGGCTCCGAGCACTGATGGAGCTGTGGGTGTCCCTGCTCACTGCAGGGCACTGGGCTAAATGACCTTTAAGGGTCCCCTCCTACTACATAATATCAAAACACATTAGAATACAACAAAACAGTGTAAGAATTATTGAATTACTCTGCTACCTCCAAACTGGAGAGGTAGCAGAGGCATATTAGTAAGCCACTTCTTTTCCTTAACTTATATTTCAGACAATAACTTGAAGGGGCCAAGTTCTTGGCCAATGGCAATACCAGAGGGTACACTAACGTGAACTCTAGACTGATTTTTCTAACAAGTCCATTCACCCCAGCCTGCTCTGCACAGCCTTGCAGGATTAACAACACATCTAATCTTTGCTCTGTGCTGCACTGGCAGGACACAAATGAAATAGCTATATATAGAAAAACCTCAATCTTACTGTAACCAAAACTGAAGAGTAAGCTGCTTTGAGAGCTAGAAACATTTTTTTTTAACACCCTCTGTGTGAAAAACTTCCTCCTAATATCTAACCTAAACCTCCCCTGTCTCAGTTTAAAACCATTCCCCCCTGTCCTATCGCTGTCACACTGTCTTAAGGTGGGGACATCCATGTGCACCTGGACAACCTGACACAAGATCCATCCTCTGATGGGCACAGCAGACAGCATGCAGGCTCTGTGCAAACTTGCTCCCATCAGGCATGGCAGCTGGAAGTTGGGTAGAAGACACATAGAACATCTGAAATAACACAGATATAATTGAATCTCTACTGGCAAAGTTCCTTGTGCCCTAGAGGGTATGTTAGCTGTGCTTAAGGTTCTTTATCACTGCAAAGAGCAAGTCTGGTTTTGAGTATGGTCTTGCCAAACTCCTCAAAAGACAGTACAGACAAACTAAGGCCAAATGACACGAATGAAATCTACTTAAATAGGTATAATTTAATAGGACTGCTCTACTACAGCTGGCTGTTTGTTTCTCAGCAGCTCCAGGCCTCTCTCATAGCGTCCTGCCTTTTGTGCAAATGGTGATAGCACAAGGGAAAATAGTTCTAAACAAAAAGAGGGGAGATTTAGGTTAGATGTTGGGAAGAAACTCTTCAAGATGAGGGCAGCGTGGCCCTGACAGCGCTGCCCAGAGAAACTGTGAGTGCCCCATCCATGGCAGTGCCCAAAGGCAGGCTGGGTCAGGCCCTGGGCAGCCTGGGCTGCAAGGACGTGTCCCTGCCCATGGCACAGGGGGCACTGGTGGGCTTTGAGGTCTCTTCCAACACAAATCATACTGGGATTCTATGAAAATAGCACCTGCAGATAGACAAAAACCCTTATGAATTACAGCAATTCATTTTACAATCATAAAAAGACTAGATAACAGAAAATTTGAAAACCATTTGAGAGTGGATAGTGATAGGACAAGGGGAATGGTTTAAACTGAGACAGGGGAGGGTTAGGTTGGATGTTAGGAGGAAGTTTTTCCCCCAGAGGGTGGTGAGGCACTGGCACAGGTTGCCCAAGGAGGCTGTGGATGCCCCATCCCTGCAGGCATTCAAGGCCAGGCTGGATGTGGCTCTGGGCAGCCTGGGCTGCTGGTTGGTGACCTGCACACAGCAGGGGTTGGAACTGGATGAGCACTGTGGGCCTTTGCAACCCAGGCCATTCCATGATTCTCCGATTCCCTAGAAGACAGGGGAAGAGAAACTTTCTTGCTTTTGATCAGCAACAGCAGCATTTGTGCCTGTAGGCTGCTCGGTCTGCAAGCAGCCTAACTCTAAAATTATCTCACTCCTCCTTAGCAGCTCCTAGGATGAAAAGTCAATTCCAGACTCCACTGTTAAAAAGAAAGCCAAGAAGATTAAGAAACTTTTTTATGATCTTGCCCAGGGAAGCAGTGCAAGTTGTAACATCCAGCCCTACCCCACTTTGGTGCCTGACAAAAGGCTCTGTTCAAATGCATTGAGCTTTTGAAGAATGCATGTGGAACAACTCAACACACAGAGCAAAAAGGAAAAGGACAAGAGGAGATGCAACAGTCGAACAAATTTCTGTAGTCCAGGCCAAGCCAAGGGAAATCCAAAACAGTGAAGAAATTAATGTTTAAGATGAGATGAACACTTGTGCTGCTCCCAAAGGCACTTAAGCATTTAAAATATGCCAGATCACATAACTGAGCAGTATAATTGAAGCTGCATGCTCAGTGTTTCTTCTAACTCTGAGAAAAACCATGCAAATTCCCTCTAGCCCCATGATAACAACTGCAATCCCAGCTTGGCTTCTTTCAGGCTGAGTCAGTACTTGCATCCCTCCCGTGCAATGCCATGCAGGTGTTGTATATCAAATCAAATGCCACACTCACATATCACTGCTCTCCTCAGAGCAGTCCAACTTGCACTACAACCTTATCTTTCTCTTTTTTCCCTCCTTCCCAGAATTCTCTTTGCAAAGTTGCTGTAAGAAATAGCCCAACTCATTTGGTGTGGCCCCAGCTCCTTCCCTCCCTACAGCTCCCACCTGCTGAAAGGACAGAGCCTGCCAATGCTGTAATGGCCATCTCCCACCTTTATTCTTTTGCTTTTCAGGAGGAGATGAAGGACAAAGGAGAGCCACAAAGATGGGCGCCAGTTTTTCCTCCTAAATATATATATTTAGCAAATTCCCACTTGTGCTTACAAAGCATGAGCAACAATGGCAGCTATAACTACATCATAGAGCTGTGGTACAGTTTCAGGCTTCTCACAGCACCGAGATAATAACCCATTCTACCTTTCATTTTACACAGCAGTAGCCATTGAGCTGCCTTGCTGGGAAGCAGCTATTGTAAAGTGGAAACAGAATTACATTGGCGATCTCTCACCATTCTTTCTGGCTAGATGTTCCTTTCTCTCCATATGAAAACCAAACAGGAAGCATTCTCATAAACTCACAGAAGGAAGAAGGGAAGTTTTCTCCCCCCAGGCTTGCGGGAAAGGAGGGATGCTCTGACTATCAATTACCGCTGCAATCCTCTGGTGGAAGCAAGTGCCTCAGGGCAGCCACACAGTCTGTTCCTTCTGGCCCACGTTGCCCGTTGTCTGAATTCAGCTTGCTATTTATTGGAAAAAATCTTAAACTGTATCTCAAAGCACCCAGGCAGCATTGCTTTCCAGGCCACGTCCCCAGGAGAATCACAGATGCTGCAGTTTCTGTCTTCAGTTAGTTAGAGAGAGCAAACACGGTACTGCCTCCTGCTTTCAGTAACTACACTTCTCATCCTGAGTGGCTGGCACGGCTCTGACAGCACAGCAGCTCCTGTGAATGCTCTCCTGAGACTGTTTCAGGCAGAATTGGTTTTCTTGAGACAGTGGCAATTTGTTCTCTGATGGTTCTGACCCGCACGCTCCTCTGAATCTCTCTAGGTTTCCTGGAGCATTTACCCCCCAGTCATGCTGATACACAAATGTAACCTGACATTAGCAGTGAGCTGCTCCCAGTTGATGCTCCGAGCTGAACAACGGCTGCAGTGCTTACACTGCTGCTGCCAGCTTCAACTGAGGCCCAGCTTCAGAGCACTGACCAAACCAAATGAGTGCTTCCTAAAAACGAGGTGTGCACACAGACAGCACAGGACAGTGGCATACAAGGAGCAGTGAGTAAGGGTTTCTGCCTCTTCAAAAGCACAGGGGATGTGACAAAAGCTCCTTCCTGC